GGAACTAAGGATGAATGTCGATAGAAAGATGCTGGAACCGGCTGTCTTCAGGATCCCAGATGATGCTTTGGTTAAAGATGTTGCAGGTGCCCTGAGTTTTGTCTGCAACAGAATATTGGCACGGACTTGTTATTGGATCTCTGAAGAAACCCAAGTCCAGGAAGACAGGGCAGGATGGGCTGGTTTTCTGGAACAACCTTTACCATATGTGAAGAGTTAAACCAACCGGAGAGCATGTGAGTGGAAATTAAGGATGGGAAGGCGAGAGGGGACATTTCCAAGGGACTGCCAAGTCCGTTAGAAGGAACAGATGATGTTCATAACAGTGCCTGCAATGGTGGGAGAACCTCATCTCTGCAGACACTAGTTAGCTCAACAAATGTTCTTTGACTGCTTCCTGAAAGCCAGGCCTTCTACCAGTGAGCAAGATGAGCAATTCATTGGGGGTGAGAGGCCAAAACACAGCTAAAGACAAAAGAATTTAGGGCTTGGCATATAATCTAGTTGGGAACTAAGGAAGATGGGAGAGAATAATTAGAGAAGCCACTTCACATGGATGGTTAGGGAAAGCCTCCCTGAGAAGGGATCTGAGTTGGGATCTGAAGGAGCACAATGAGCCGGGCATTTGCAGAATTGGCCCAGGAAGATGATACGCAGAAAGACTAGCTAGTGGAAGAACTTAGGCAACTAGAAAAAGCCTTGGTGCTTTGAAGAACAAAATAGAAACTTATTGGAAATAGTAAGCAAAGGGAATGACAATGTATAAGTCTGTAGACCCTGGAAGGGTTAGATTTTATTCAGAGAATAGTCATTGGTGGGTGTTAAGCAGGGGAGGGGTGTCTCATGCTTTATGCTTAAATTAGCCAACCAACCAAGCAAACAAGAGCAACCATTTTTCTGGCTGTTGTGAGATGAATAATGTAGACTGGAAGCTGGGACATCACTGGGAGGCTATTGAAATAAAACAGGTGAGAAAATGTGGAGACATGAAGATATTTGATGGCAGAGAAGATGGAGAGAGGAGAATGGATTTGGAGCTAGAATGGAATTAAACACAGAGATGAGGCAAAGCAAGGATTCAAGGATAACTGGTGAGTTTTCCGGTGAGACTCTGCCCGGATGATGTTGCTGTTAGCCAGGAGAGGAACGATTGAGGATCTGTGTAAATGCCTATAAGCAATAGGGTTCTATTTTAGACATGGGAAGTTCAGATGCCTACCAAGTGTTCAGTGGAGATAGGGTTGAGGCGTAAAGTCAGATGTGGAAGTGGACACAGTGGATGCAGTAGCCCCGAGAAGGGAAAAGCGAAGGAGTGATGGCCGGACAGAAGAGACTCCCTTGGTGGGAGTAGAAGGGACCTGCCTGTGACTAGGACGGGATTCTCCTACCAGTGTCGTGGGAGCAGAGAACATGAATGACGGCTAGATTGGCGGCTAGGTTTGGTGATGGGAAGGGAAGGGTCTGCTTTCTCAGGAAGTGAGAAGGCAGGCTTATCCGCTCTGCCTGTGGGAAGTTTGTAGAGGAGGCAAACCGTGAAACCGTTCGTGTGGAGAGTAAGAAAGCAGACTTGCTAGGGGTCTGTGGCAAGATGCAGGGCAGTGCTAGGCACCCGTTTGAAGCTGTGATCATGAAAGTAAGCATGTGCGGCCAACACTAGCCTCTCGAGCGGCGGCGGCCCGGTAGGCAGCACAAGTGAGTGACGGGGTCATGGTGACAACTGTAGCAAGCAGGTAACAGAGCCAGATTGCCTGGGCTGAATGTGCTGTGAAATTGGACAATTGACTTGCTGGCTTGGTAGCTTCGTATACAAAGAGGATATTACTTACCTTGTATGGGGTTTTGGGGGCTAAATTGGTTAATTAGAGATGAAGCTCTTAGAACAGTTTGTAGCATTTAGTAGGCCTACAGAAGAATTATTTGCTACTGTCTTTCCTGTTAAGAGAAGGATCACTTCCAACGCAGGGCATTACTGTCACCTGGAGGCGGCTGCCCATCGTTATGAGACTTCAGGATATTGGAAGACAATCTGTACAGTTTTTTTTTGTTTGGTTTTTAAACTTTTTGTTGTGTGTCAGGTAAAGTTTTGCAGAGTAAACCAGTGCTCCGTTCGACAGTTCACACACATTGGTTTCGTGTCGTTGATTGCCAGCCCCGTAGTGTAATGTCACTCATCTCACTTCCAGGCTGGTTCCCAATCCTATTTCTCCTCCCTCCCAGTGCCTCCTGCCCTCTGAACGCTGTCCTTGGGCCAGTGCTGCCCTTTTGATCTCGAATGGTCGATTGTTTGGAGGGTGTGGAACTCCCTAGTATTATTGTTTCCCTTACAGATTTGTCTATTGTTTGGCTGAAAATTGAGCCACAGGGCTGGGTTTAGTTCCAGGCCGGAAGGATGACTAAGGGTCACAGTTGGGAAAGATGTGGAGGGGGGGTGGGGGTGGGGAGCGGAGGGGGACACTTATTTCTTATGTGTGAAATTCCTCAGTTTCAGGTATTTTTAAAAATATGTAGGCAAAAAAGAAAACATATTTTTGATTCCTAAGTTGGGCTAATTTTTAAAATAACCTACCTTTTAGGATAATAGTTAGCTCCATGGGTACAGGGAGGGTGAAGGGCCAGCTGCGAGTGAGGTGTGCTGCATGAGCCTTAGAGGAAAGGTGAGCCCAAGTGTTAGGCAGGCTGTCGTGGCAGACTGTGGCCGGGACGTGGCCAAGGAAGGAGGTAAATCCACACAGAGCATCTGATGATGGTCAGGCCAGAGGGTTAGCGGTCTTGGGGTGAAGTTAACATTGAAATGGCTTATGTACCTTCTGTGAGCTGGAAGGAGAGGGGACTGTACCCACAAAGTGTGATCCTGGCATGTTGGCAGTGATGACAAGATGCAGGCTGTCCACCTGGGTTGGGTGGAGGAAAAGGTGGCGGGTGAGTGACAAAGTAGTGTTGCCTGAACCATCCATATGGATGTGGAACTCCCAGAACACTGATGGGCGCAGGGCAGCGAGGAAGAGTGTGAACCACAAGCCCAAACAGGAGTGAATGAGGGAATGACAGCAAGGAGGCATGGCCCGTGATCCAGCTAATGACACGCGCGTCAAAGGAACTGGGACTTTAGGAAAAGATGGGCGCCAGAAGGTATTTTCAGGTCCCTGGCCACCCCTTCCCATCATTCTGACTGGTCACAACAGGGGGTCTCTATCAGCAAGAGAAAAATCTAGAATAAGCAATCAGAGTCACAAAAGAGACTAGGCCTACCGGTCTGACGGAGACTGGAGGGACCTTCGAGACTAAGGCCAGAAGACACCCTTTCTGACCAGGAGCTGAAGCCTTTCCTGGAAGCCACCTTTTAGCCAAACAAGAGACGAAACTCCAATCGATTCCAGCGGTCAGCAGCCTTATGTACAGTTTCCAGGCTATAAACCTATAGCCTCATCTTTCACCTTTGGGGTGGCCGGTCTGCTGGTGGGTTTGAACTGCCACTCTTTGGTTTAACCCTCCAACAGTAACCTGACAGCATCTCCAGGACTTCTGAAATGAGAGTTGCATACAAGGACAACACCATCGTGTGCCTTAGAACAATCAGTTGCACAAGAGCAAAGACAACATTTGCCCCAAAGCCAAAACGAGAAGGGAAAAGGACTAGAAAATCCAGGAGGAAGGAAAGCCAGCTCTGAGAGGGAACGTGGAGAGGCTGCCACAGTGGGGAACATGACCCACGTCCCACGGACACTCGACGTACAGACTGTTGAAGGGAAACTGACTCGCTCTGTTAATGTTCACCTCAAGCGTATTCAATTTATTTTATTAGAAAAAAATAGGCGTGATAGGTTTGAAGGATTTAAAAGAAAACCCCAATTCAAATATATCTATAAAGCCCCTTGTTTTAAACAAGTCAAAGCCACAATAAAAGACAAGTCATTGGGACGAGGGAGACCATCAGCATGAGACCCAAGGGTTCACAGTCGCTTGGCTAAATGATAAACCATGGGAATAACTTTTCCTCTTACTTTACGACTCCCTTTTATTCCCTCACCCCTTCCACTAATGATGTATTTTTGAGCCTGTCAACATTTTCTGGGGAAATGCTCTTAGACACACTTTCTCAAGCTGTCCTTTGAGTCCAGAAAGCCACTGCTTCTCTCCTGGGTGCCAGTGGCCCGTGGCATGTAGCTGGGACTGAGGGAGGACTAGGTGCTGCGATACCATGGTGCTAAGTCTGCCCTGGTGGCTGACCTGGTGTGGGGGCCTGGATTCCCATCGATATGAAGAGCCGGTTCTGGTCCATTCTGAATTATTGATGCCCTCAGCCCTGCGGCAGGCCCCCAGTCAACTTTCTGTGGCCTGTCCCGCAAGGTTGGGAGCCAACCTAGACCCGGGAAAACAGCCAGAGGCCCAAGCCTGGAACAAGGTGTGGGAGCTGGAAGTCCTGATGATGGAGTGAAACGTAAGCCCCAGGTGGCGTTGTTCTGAGCGCGAAGATAGACGTTTCAGACCATCCTCCGCGGCTGACTCAAACCTGCCGCACGCCAGGCTTAGGTGCTTGTTCCCTGTGACCCTGCTCATAGCACACAGTCACTCGAGCTCGTAGACTAAGGTGGCCAGACGTCCTGCTTTTGGCGGGGCAGTCCCGATTTTTAACAATTTGTCCCGCGTCCGCGGCATTTTAAAAAAGTCCCAATTTTTGGAACGAATGCACAACAAGCTAGGGTATACGGTTTTCGGCTGCCATGTGGCTATTTTGCCAGGATATGAGTTTTATCAATGGTATCCCGCTTTACCAATGTTAAAATCTGGTCACCTTATCGTAGACACCCCCAGCCCCACGAATGCCTGTGCCGCAGCCGTAGCTGTACGGTCTTCTGGAGCGGCCTCCTCCATCACATGTGCTTCCCAGGCCAGAATGTTCCATGTACGTGAAACTCGTGTTCAAGAATCACTTGCCCGGGAAAACCACCAGTGTGTCGCGTTAGATGCGTGTGTGACCCTCTTGTTTTTATCTTGTCCAGGGTGTGCTGAGGATCAATCCAAAAAAGTTTCACGAAGCCTTCATTCCTTCCCCGGTGAGTTCAATCACTTTATAATAAACTTCACGTCACATTTAATTTTTCCGATGTCCTCTGAAACTGAAATCATATATCCAGCTACAAGGCCGAGCAGTGAAACAGAACCGAGGATGGGCAAGGGTTTGTTTCAAACTTAAATAAACACTGCTTGCCTTTGGGTTCCCAGGCCCTTCTGCCCGTCTGAAAAATTGCCCTCAAACTGCACGGGTGGAGGCCGGTGCTGGGCCCGGGTGAGCAGCTGGGCCCAGGCAGACACCCACCCGCTCTTGTAATTGGACGCCCTTGGTTTATAGCTTTGAAGGATTTATGGTTTTTTCCACTGATTTAAGTTAATCTCTCCTAAACAAATACGCTATCTACTTTCGATCTACTGCATGAGCTAATCTATGAATGTGTCCAAAAATAACGTGTAATGCTTTTTTTGTGTGGGGGTGTGGGGGAGGTCAGGGTTTCTCACTTCATTTGGTGCAGGTGGTAGGGCTTAGTCCAGGGCCCTCGGCCACTGGGCCTCTCAACCCCTTTCTTACGCTCATGGCTCATCTTAAGAAGCTCTCTCTGGCTAAGGACAGTTCTCTCTGATACCAAGTTCACAGCAGGTCTGTGGAGAAAGTGCGATTGTGCAGAGCAGAAAGAGCGGGACCACATTCCTGACTGAACTTTTCCCAGACACCAGGTACAGGAGGACTGGAGCCTCATAGCGTTTTCAGGGTAGAGGAGTCGGTTGGGAGAAACTACTTCTAATTGAGAAAATGGAGTACATGCCTTTCAGCTGACTGACTTCATGCTGCTACGTGACACATTCAGTGTGACTCTAAGTGTAGTCTTCTACTTCATAGACATTGTTATTACAAAACCTCTAAGACCTATTCCCAGGCTCTTTCAGTCCTTGGCTTCTCTGCCTTCCAGAAGCCAAGGGATTCCGCTTCCGGGCTTGCCCATGGGACCACGTAAAAAGTCTCACTGCATTGGGACATCTCCTCTGAGTCGCATAGGAGTTCACTGAAAGACACGGCATGTTTGCCAACCCCAGGCCCTTGGGGGAGGGCAGTGATGTCGCTGCAGAAGCTGGTCAGTTGGACTAACTGGTCAGTGTAGTGTCATGGGGTTGGAGTCCACAGTGCGCCTGCCTAGGTGAGTGTCAGGTACAGTGGTCACAAAATGTAGTTTTGCAGGGCACACTCCTAGGAAGGTGCCAGGTGCCAGGTGCCAGGTGGCAGACGGCTGCTCGGCCTCACAGGAAGTCCTGCACAACCAACCTCTCTTCCCTGGAGGCATCATGACCTGTGTCTGCAGCAGTGGGTGCACCCGCGGAGCTGGGCTAGCTGAAGGGACCCTGGTGTGTGACAGTCAGCCACGTGTAAGCCTCAGAGTCCCACTCACTAAAACTCTCCGTCCGACGGGTACTGGGGCCCAATGGATCCCTGACCCCTCTCCCCTGCACACTGAGGAGCCATCAGGGCACGACAGTGTTCTGATCATTTTACTGGAGCTTTCTCGGAAGCTCCTGAAGGCTCAGTATTGAATTTCCTAAAGTTCAATCCCTGTGAGCAGGCCAGCTCCTAACATGTGTGGGGCCTGGGACAGAAGTACCCATGGAGACCTCCATCCCTTCAATCAAAACACATAGGAGTTAAATATCAACCCAACAACCTGTTAAGTGAAGTGGCGTTCCTGGCACGTCTTCCTGAGCAGCAGTGTTAGCTGGGTGTGATATTAGGATTGGCTTGCTCCATCGCCTCCTTTCCCTCTCCTGCTGATTCCTGATGGAGGAGCCATACTGTCTTGGAGGGAGAAAAATATGCAATAAGACATGGAGGTAAGTCAGAGCAGTCAGACCTATCGTCTGTTATTAGGTGCCATTGAGTGGGTGCCCACGCATGGCGACCCTGTGTGCCACAGGAGGAAACACTACCCGGTCCTGTGCCATCCCCACACTTGTTCTTACGTTTGAGCCCATCGATGCAGCCACGGTGTCCATCCATCTCGCTGAATGCCTTCCTCTTGTGCTCTGCCTGATACTTACCAAGCAGGATGCCCTTCCCCAAGGTCTGGTCTGTCCTGACAGCATGTCCACATTGCGTGAGATGAGGTCTGGCTGTATTTCTTCCAAGCTGTTTTCTTTGAAAGCCTGATTGCAAGTGAACCCAGATACTGTCGTTTTGGATACCCAAACGATCTGCATTCTACAACCCTGGTTCTTTATGGCCAGTTTCTACTTTCTGAAGCTGAAAGCGTTGTAGAAAGCAATAGAAAGAAGGAGATAAAATTAACAAGTGTGAGGTACAGGCAAATAGATCCCACAACCCCGCCTGTTGTAGATTTCTGGGTTTGGTATATGTAGCTCATGTCCATGTTAGGCCTGCATTTGTATGAGCTCGAGAAATGGCCACAGGCAGACTAGGAGGTTTGGGCTACCAGAGCTGGGGTCAGAGGTTACCCTTGTTGTTGAGTGCCATCAGACTAATTCTGAGTCATCTGACTCATAGTCTAGAGCAGAAATGCCCTGTTGGGTTTTCGAGATGGAAATCCTTTTAGAAGCAGGTCACCAGGGTCACATGGTAACATTAGCATCTCTCCTGTTTAACTCTGGAGGGAATAATGACCAGGACCAGCCCAAAGCCGATTCCTCTGAGGTGGAGGTCCGACATACCTCTTCCACTCTCTAATCCTTTTCATGTCAGTTCAGGTGCCAGCTGCCCTTTGCCCACCACTGTCTGCTGCATTGATAACCCCTGGCAGTTGCCATACAGAATTCACAGACCATACTTCAGTGAAGTGGCTTATTTACAAATTTATTTCCTATAGTAATAATGTTTTTGACATTTAATTGCTTCTTTTAATTAAATTTTTAATTTAATTGTTTTAATTGCTTCTTTTTTAAAAACACAGTTTTATGGGCACATAATTCCCATGTCATACAACTCAGTAATTCAGTCACACCAGGGTACAGTTTGGACAGGGACAGCTTAGGAACCAGGGCCAGGAAGCCTGTAGGCATTCTCCTGTCTTCAGCACTGGACAACTCCTTGAGGCTCCCTCAGGACCCTCTAGCCCCACGCCCCCCCCCCAGGATAGAATCCTCTGGGTCCCTTCAGGACAGGCTCTTCTTGGCTATGCCATTTGTTGCCACTATTTTGACCTCTGTCACCTTCTGGGCCCCTTGGTGTCTTCAGTGTGAAACAACCTTTGGCCAGCGTGACTGCTTTCTTAGGAGGTTCCTTGCCTTTCCTCTGTCTCTGTTTCTCTGCATCTCCTTCGGCTCCTGCCTCTCCCTGCTGCACCACCGTGGGGCTGGCTGCATGTGTATGGCTGTAGGTTGCTTGGTGTCCCTTTGGACAGCTTCTCGTTGCATATCTGCCAGTAGACACATAAAGTTTTTGTGTCTTTGAAAGGAAATTCAGCTTTCTGTTTGCTTTTTATTTCTCCCTAATGGGTTTTTTCTTTTCTTTTTGGTTTTAAAGACTCCCCAACTCCCTTCGGTTCCCCCCACCACCACCACCTTGAACCGTGGGTAGGATACAGGCAGATGGGGCAGAGGACATGGCTGTGGGTGTGAACTCTTGGGCACTCATTGCCCCAGCCTGCAGCAGCAACGAGGAGCTCCCGTCAGCACCAGGGTGTCCGCAGCATGTCCGTTCCTCAGCATGTGCTGTGAATGCTCAGCAGCACCTAGCTATGCGAGGGCAGGCCTCAAAACGTTTGTGGGAAAATGGAAT